ATGGAGAGTGGCTCCCCCCGACTGCTGACCATCACTAGGTAACAAAGGGGGAATAGACGAAGGCTGACTAGCCTCCATGCTTGAAACCATTACACATGAATTCATATCCATTTTTTTTTTGGGGGGGGGGGGGATATATCCGTAGGAAGAAACAAATTCAATGAAATATATCTCTGGATAACAAAACAAACAATTCCCGATTACTAGAAAGCAAAAACTAAGAAAATGTAACTCAAAAACATTAGTCTGAATGCTCGTGCTCTGTTGAGAAAAAAGTGATTTTATTGTCTGCATACAATGCTTATATGCAGTACCTGCATAGAGGGTGTGTGAGGGCCGGCGAAAAGTTGTGCAAATTAGATATTGCTGAGAGCAGTCGAGTGGGGTATATAAAGAATGGAGCAAGCGAACACAACATTAGATGAAAAAGATGAAGATCGAGAAATAGCTATTAGTGTCAGTGGAGATATGTATGTTTTGGAAACTTTAGTATATCTATTAAAGAATACGAAAACTGTAACTTTAAACAAAGAACATTCCAACATACTATGAGATATTATGATGCAATTACATTCAATTAAAACAATGAGAAAAACTCAGAAGGTTCTAGTAACATCATACAATAATATAACAATCACCAATTCATTCCTAGTGAACTAAAAAATGTATGATTCGTGACCAATTACAGAAACAAACTTGCAATAAACTATTGCTTCTAAAAATAACTAAATGTAACACTAATGTTATATAAAGTATCTAAATCATAACACTCACATTAAACTTAAGTTAAAACAGTTTTGTATATCTAAAAACTACAAACATGTTAATACAAATTAGTGTCAACAATATGTCCAATAAGACACAATTACAACTATATATTCTCACTAATAACACAATTGTAAAAGTTTTAATCTACAAATTACCTCAGTTTTCACTGTTGCTCCATCACAGTTATCTTCTTTCTCCTCTTTTATCATACCAAACTTCAAAATGGTATGTAGAGATCTTTCTATCATGTAATCAGCATTTCCCGTAGCTAGAAATACAAACAGTGTAGATTTCCCCATAACACATCTCATAACTTATGCACCAATTAATCATAATCATAATCTATACAACATATTTAGCTGAACAGGCCTCTCCTATAATGTCTTACATGATATATTGGTGCATAGAAATGTATCAACTTTCAGTAGAGAGCAGGTTCTGAAAATATACCTGGACTGAGATGCACATTGTTAGATGTAGTCCCAAATGATCACTAAACAAGTAGCCAGGGTCAGAGAGAAAGTATTTTCCTATACCTGGTACCAGAAAGTTCTCAACAGTAAAATGTACATGTACTTTTGGAGTTGAAAAACACAACATACAAAACTGATAATTCTACAAAATTAATGTAAGCAGCTGAGTCAGCAGGCACATACAAAGAAAAAGAGCAAAATGATCCTCAGAATGCAAGGTCATGGCAATTGGAACATTGAGTAGGAAAGTAAAAGAATGTGAAAATTAAGCACTTTGGTGAATTCTTTCCAGATTGGAACTATAAGACAAACTTTGCAGGATAGATGTCATGTCTTTAAAATTTCGAAATACTGCAATGATGAGTACCAGCACAGAGGATACAATAGCATCTACAACAATTGCAGAAGTAAATGTTTACTTCATACATGGATGAAGCTGCCTAAACACAGTCTCGTGCAACAAGAGAAATTGTGCAAATTGTTTTTCAAGCAATGTAAGTGACCTTAACTGTTAGTGACTTGACCTGTCTTCAAGAAATAATATAAAGTAATATAAAAATTTGGGGGTTTGGCATTTCTTTAATTCAACCTGTATGTTAAAATTTTCATTACATCATACTGAATTCTTTATCAATAGCAGCACTGTAACACAGTAAACCACCTCAATATTGATAACTAACAAAGTACATTCTGAAGAGAATCGTGAGCTTTAAGAAAACTATGTTGAATCATGGAAATAGTTGAGTTTGTTATTAAAGTTTTTGTCATGAACCAAAACATTCTAAAATTGTTGTTAGAAGTAATCTTCGCTGTAATGCCAGTTATTTAGACAGAGTTGGTAAGATATCATGTCAGAAAGTGAACAATTATTGGTACTATAATGGTAATTCTCTCATTCCTATCTAGAGGAGCATTTCATGTAACCACTCTTTTTTGTAACTTTTAAGATAAAATTTTCAAACATTTTCTTTTAATGCATTAAAAGAAATCTTTTTTCTTGCTTATGTACTTCTGTATACTATAAATGTTATTAAACTACTTTAAACTAAATCTTAAAATCCCCATATGCTATTTCTGATGTGAAACTAAACTGGTGTTCCAAGTTTCAATGTTACCTCTGTAGAAGGTACTTTTAACTGCAAAAAAAATTAGCTATTATCAATTTAGATGAAGCATGAAAAAACTAAAATCATCCATTTTGGATTTCAACAACTGTTGGAGGTAAGATTACTATTTTATTTATCTTAGGTTCAGGAAGAGACATTGAAGAGCTGTGAATTCAACAAAATCAGTCTTCTGCAGCAGAGGTAATGTATTTCCAATAAAACTTACCTCCCACTTATAGCTATTACTCAACTGCCAGAATTTCTTTCTTTGCTCACCTAAGCATTGTTCTGATTTTTTCTCACTTGCTCGAGTCTTTTATACCACACTCAATTAATCTTGGCTATATTTATCTTGTGACACTCTCCATCTATGTCAATGCTCCCTCTATCCTGCTACCGTATATAAGCACCTTATTCAGATAATGTTATCATTTTTTCAAGACTGACTCAATCACAGTTTCTAACTCTGGCTCTTAGTGAGGAGAAAGGGTGGGAGAGTGTGAAAGGAGGTAAGTATTATTGGAAATACATTTTCAATTTAGAAAAATGTTATCTTCAAAAACATATTTACTTGCACTCCCACTTATATCTAGAATACGGTGAGGGCATTATCCATGCAGAAAGCATCTGTATAGATCATGGGTGTGTCAATAGAAGATTAGCACCCTAATGGGGGAACTGCACTATATCCAGAACAGGTATGAAATTTTAACTAATTTATCATTACTACAGGCCAGGCCTCAACCAGACAGCTGAGGTTCCACTGCTCGGGGTTGTAATTAAAGGGCCATGGTCCCCATATCCCATATATATATACACTTCTGAGTGGATCCCAACCTGAAGCCACAGAATGAGTCACCAGAATCATGATGAGAAAGTAAGCAACAGTGAGGTGGGCAAACCTTCTCCTCAACCTGAAGAAGTCCAAAAGGAAAAACCCCAGGTTTGTAACGAAAGGATCTTGTATGCCTTATTCAACCTGAGGAAACAGAACTCATCCAGTCTGGAAATATAAACACTCATCCTCACTCCCCAACTATGTGGCCATAGTAAATTCCACAATATCCATAGATGGAAAGAAAACTAAAAATTCACTCCCACACCTTACAGCCATCAAGTAAGCTGCAAGCTCAAAAGCAACCAGGAAAAAGCTAAAAATATCACACTATCGAAGAACCAACAGAAGAAAACAAATCAAAGGCAGCTTATCCCAAAGTGGCCACGTTTTTGTTTTTTATTAGTAGGTCCTTTAAAGACTGTCCATCAGGGGACATTGATTTATTCAGTTTAACTACAAACTCCACCTTAGTACTACAAAATTCGAGGAATAGAAGTATTATTTGAAATTCGAAAAATGATTCCACCTGGTGGTGGTAGGCTAAATCATGATGTTCTGACATGTCAGATGAGGCATAACTGTCCCTTCACTTAACTGAGAAGTAAACCTTCCAGCATGAACCATAATATTCGTGGATGGAAAGGAAAACTAAAAAATTCGCTCCAAGGCCTTTCAGTCATCAAGTCAGGAGCAGGCTTAAAAGCAACTAGGAAAAAAGCTTAAAACATCATCCTCTCGCAGAACCAACAGAAGAAAACGAATCAAAGGCAGCTTTTCCCCCTTTTTGTTTTTTATTTACAGATCATTTAAAGACTGTGTTGATTACCATTGATTGGAACAGCTCTTTGTAAAGTAAATTTGTTTTCTTTGAGCAAAGCATCTTTGGGCTATCCGCCGTGTCCACTCTGGGAAACCAAACCCCTGACCCCAGTGTTATGAGTCTGCAAACTCACCACTGTCCCACAGGGGGACTGAAACGCCAACAAACTAAAAGAAGGAGCAGGAAAAAGCAAATGTAAATTCTCTACAGAATGTTGAGGATCACCCTAAATTTCAGCCTCAGAGCCCCTGGAGGAACAACACAGAACCAATTATGTATCTCCATCTTACTATGAATATGATAACTGCTAGCCTCATCTGAGAGAGTTGGGTGTGGTAAAGGGGTCTGGTTTTCTAGTTTACAGCTCCATTAACAAATAAGACTATAGAAATTATACTTTGTCTGAGTAATATTTATATTATAATGTGTAATTTAAGTTAAATTCTTTATTTCTTGAGGGATGGTAAATAAATTAAATAAGAGGAATTCTCAAATTTGAGGATTTTAAAAATATTTCCTTTTAACATTAATAAAGTTTGATTTGTTAATCATGTATTGATGCCAAGTTTCTTTATATGGAATGGACAGCAACTACCTGTTGTAAAAACACAAGTATAGACAATAACTTTCAAAAGTCTTCCATCTTCAGGTCAGGGTGTGTGTAAGATGTTGCAGTTCTATATAGTATCCTGATGAACTGTGGAGGACATGTTGTGATTGGTTTGTTTATCCCTAATTCTGATTGGTGGAAAGACTACAATATGAAAGACAGAAAATTTTCAAAACTTTGTCCTCTATACTTGTGTTTTTAAACCAGGTAGTTGCTGTCCATTCTAGTTTACTCATCAGGAATACTCTGCCTAAACAATCTACCAAAGAATAATAAAGTAATTTAATGAAATTTGTATATAGCTTTATAAAAATTTATGTGCTATTTGACCTGCCCATGACTTAATACTAAACTGATCCCTTGACAGCAAAAAGCCTACATTGGACTATATATGTGGACAACTTGGAAATCATTAAAGAGCCAGAAAATGAAACAACATACGGACAACAACTGCTTAAATAGATCCTCTGAAATTTACTTTGAGAACTGTCACAACATGCCAGATAATGATTAGTTGATTTATATAAATTACCTAAGTTATCGTAGTTGTGTTTAAATCACATTCTAGTGTTTCTTATTTGTTGCTGATTATTACTTCAAACAACAGTGAAGTGTTTCATATTTATTGCTGATTATTACTTCAAACAACAATGAAGTG